GAAAAAGCTGCAGAAGCTTTTCAGTCGCTGCTGCGCTGCCTGCAGCAGCAGGGGCCTCTCGTCAGTGCCCACAAGTGTTATGCGGGGTGTGGGCCCCAGCCCTGCTGCTGCTGCTGCTGCTGGGGCCTGCTGCTGCAGTTGCTGCTGCAGTTGCTGCTGCTCCTCCGGGTGTACGTACACCGCAGGCACGGTGTCTCGGGGAGAGGGAACTGCAGCACAAGAAGGGGAAAGGCCTCCCAGCAGCAGCGCAGCCTCCAGCAGCAAACTGCCGCTGCCGCAAAACGGATCCCAAATCTGCAGCAGCAGCAGCAGCAATAGGAGCAACCGCAGCAGCAGCAGCAGCAGCAACAGCAGCAGCAGCAACAGCGGCAGTAGCATAAAACACAAGGGAACACAGGCATGCGAGCTACTCAAGATGAACTCCACCTGTTTGGCACTGCTGCTGCTGCTGCTGCTGCTGCTGCTGCTGCTGCTGTTGCTGCTGCTGCCTGCTGCTTTGAGGCTCACCACAATGCGTTTCTCTCGCTTGAAGATTCTGCGAAGTCCAGCAGCAGCAGCAGCAGCAGCAAGAGACACATCGCCGATTTCGTGCTCCGTGCCTGCTGCTGTCCAGTCTGCTGCCTCCCAAGAAGGTTCTGCTGCTCCTGCTGCTCCTGGTGTTGCTGCTGCTGCTTCTGCTGCTGCAGATGCTTCTTTTGCTGCTGCTGCTCTGTGGGCCAAAGCCTCTGCTGCCCAGCCACCCCTTAGATACAGCAGCCGCATCATAGACACAGTTGCTGCTGATTGAGGCAGCAGCAAACCCTTGGGGCCCCCCGGCTTGGAGTCCTTGAGCTGCTGCTGCTGCTGCTGCTGCTGCTGCTGCTGCTGCTGTTGCTGCTGCTCCGGGTGCTGATGCTCTTCCTGCTGCTGTTCTTCCTGCTGCTGCTGCTGCTCCTGCGGCTGCTGCTGTTGCTGCTGCTCCCGCTGTTCTTCCTGCTGCTGCTGCTGATGGCCCACGGCCCCTTCGCAGGGCCCCCCTGAAGAGCCCCACAGAGAGGGGGCGACGGCGCCTGCTGGCTCAGCAGCAGCAGCAGCAGCAGCAGCAGCAGCAGCAGTGAGTGACCAAGGTGCCGTTGCTGCTGCTGCTGCGCGTGCCTCCTGCTGCTGCTTTGCAACAGCAGCAGCAAGCTGCAGCTCCTCGAGCGCCGCGCGCTTCTGCGCTGCTGCGTCCGCGGCCTCCCACCTCTCACCCCCTTCCCCTCCCTCCGCTGCTGCTGCTGCTGCTGCTGCTGCTGCTGCTGCTGCTGCTGCTGGCAGGTGCGGCAGGTACCTGTAGGGCCGCGGGTCTAAAGGCCCTGAGAGCAGCAGGTCCGCTAGGGCCTGTCCCTTTACGCAGACGACACGCAGCCGGTGGGTTGCAGCAGCAAGTGCTGTTTCTGCTGCTGCTTCTGCTGCTGCTGCTGCTGCTGTTGCTGCTGCTTCCCCAGACTCTCCTGCTGCTGCTGCTTCCTCCAAAGCTGCTGCAAGTTTTGCACGCAAAGACGGACTGTCTCCTATAGGAGAGTCGATGGAGACAACCCGCAGCTGCAGCAGCGGCAGCGCGGACAGCGGCTGAATGTACTGCAGCAGCAGCAGCAGCAGAAGCAGCAGCAGCAGAAGCAGCAGCAGCAGCAGCAGCAGCAGCAGAAGCAGCAGCAGCAGCAGGGCTATGAAGGAAAGGGAATGGCTGCGAGTGCACGCACAGCCACAAAGCCTCAAGCGCCTGCTGCTGACGCCCGCGCAGCAGCAGCAGCAACAGCAGCTAAGCAGCAGCAGCAAATCGCAGGCCGAGTGCAGCAGCAGCAACAGCAGCAAAAGAGTCGAAGGGCCCCCTGTTTGCTGCTGCGCTGCTTCTCACCTTTTTCCAATTCGTGCGCCTCAGCAGCAGCAGCAAATGCTCGCTGCTGCTGCAGCGCTGGGGGCCCCACAGCCGCAGCCACACGCACTCAGCTGTACGTACACCGCAGCAGAGCTGCTGCACCTGCTGCGGCCGCACCTGCTGCAGCAGCACCCCCCCAGGGTTCACGACCAGGCGGGGGGCCCCTGCTGCTTCACCTGCTGCTGCTGCTGCTGCTGCTGCTGCTGCTGCTGCTGCTGCTGCTGGCTGGGCAGCAGCCAAGCAAGGCAGGGCCTTCAGCTCCCTCAATAGGGGCCCCTCGAGGCCCCGCCGAGTCGAAAAGAAAAGAGACAACTTCCCCATTTGGGGCCCCAGGACCAAATGAAGTTCTTGTCTTTTTGGGGGGCCCCCGGGGCCCCCGAGAAAAAAAGGGTACTGCCACTAGGGGGCCCCCAGGGGCCCCTAAGGAGAAAATGAAGGCTCGCTTTAAGAGGCCCCTGGGGCCCCTAAACGCAAAAAGGGTACTGTCTTCCTAGGGGGCCCCCGGAGTCCTAAAAGCAAAACACATACTGTCTCTTAATTTTGCTCCTGGGGCCCCTACCTTTGCAAATTAGGCACAGGCTTTGAGGGCCTCCGGGGCCTCCAGAGCCAAGAAGAGGATCCTAGGGGCCCCCAAGGCCCTGAAAAAGGGCTCTGGGGGCCCCTGGGGGCCCTGGGAGCTCCTTGGGGGCCCCTGAGGGCCCTCAGGGGTGTCTGGGGCTCCCTGGGGGCTCTCCGGAGTTCCTGGGGGGCCCTGGGGGCCCTCGTGGGTCCCTGGGGGTCCCTGGGGTCCTTGGGAGTCTCTGGGGGCCCCTGGGGGCCCTCAAGGGTTTATGGGGGCCCCTGGGGGCCCCTAGAGCCCACGGGCACCAGGGACCCCTGGGGGCCCCTCAAGAGCACTGGGGGGCCCCCGTGGTGAGGGGCCCCCGGGGGCCCCTAAAAAGAACCCTGGCTTGCAGGGGAGAACGCCCAGAAGGGCTAGGCCCGCCGCAGTGGGGCCCTAGACCGTAAACCCTAAACCCTAAACCCTAAACCCTAAACGCTGAGCCTCAAACCTTGAAATGCTGGGGGTTCCGGGGGCGGTGTTGCCAGGCAATTGATCATGAAGGCATTAAAGAGGTGAATAAATTTTGAAAAAATAATAAATAAATTAATTAATTTGTCGATTAAACACTGAAGGGATAGCAGGGGATAAACAACAAGGGGGCCCCAGAGCAGCTGCAGCCCAGGGGGGCCCCCCAAGATCCTTATGGGGCCCCCATCGGGGGCCCCCAAGCAGCTCTGTACTGTAAGAAGGCCTCCTATTTGTTGTTAAATAGACTTCGATTATTTTAATTATACTTAATATTAAATAAAGGTAAATAAACAAAATGAATTTGGCTATTCGGGGCCCTCTTTTCGGCCTTACGGCCCCCCACTAGGGGCCCCAGGGGGCCCCCAAGATGGGCTTGAGGTCTATGGGGGCCCCCAGACGGTCTGGGGCCCCATGGTGGCGTTTGTTGCTGTGTGGGTACTTCTTAAATCTAGATTAAAAGGAAATAAACCCGCAAAGCTGAGGGTTTAGGGTTTAGAAAGTCCTTTGGCCTGCGAGCCGAGGCCTTAGGGGGGCCCCCAGAGGACCTAAAGAGCCTTCAGCGTCTCGGGAGGCCCCATCAAGGGCCCACGGGGCCCTCCAGCGGGCCCTTGGGTTCCCTTGGGGGGCCCTTGGGTTCCCTTGGGGTGACCCTGGGTCCCCTTGGGGGGCCCTGGGATTCCCCGGGGGCCCCCGGGGCCCCCGGGGGGCCCTAGGGGGCTCCAGGGGCCCCCGGGACGCAGGCGAGTACAAAAAGGTTTCATAGAGGCTGTTTTAGGGGCCACTTAGGGGGCCCCATGGCTCTCAGTGAGGCCCCCCAGAAGGTCCTATGGCCCTCTGCGGGGCCCCCTACGAGGCCTCCAAGGGGGCCCTCTGGGATTTCAGGGGGGCCCTATAAAGAGGAACCCTCAGAATCTCAGAGGGGCCCCCGGGGGCCCCCTGGGGGCCCCCCAGACCCTATGAAGGTACATAAGGAGGCCCTTCTGGCCGTCAGGCGAGGGGGCGTCCGCGGTCCCTTTGGGGGCCCCTTAGGGGCCCCCAAAGAATCCCTCAGGGGCCCTCTAAGAGCCGCCTCAGGGGCCGCCTCAGGGGCCCCGAAAGGGGCCCTCCAGGGGCCCCCTCAAGGGCCCCTTCAGAGTCCGGGGGTACTCAAAACTGGAGCAGCGGCCTCCCCGTTGATAGCAACTTATTGGGCCTTTTATTTCTCCTCTTATGTCTCTTTATTTGCCCCTTTATGTCTTCTTTTTTGCTTCTTTTTGTCTCCTGAATGCCTCCTGCTGCGCTCTCTTTGCTGCTGCTGCCTCTTCCCTTATCTAAAGTCTCAACCGTAAGCCTAACGCGTTCATTGAGTTCCTTAGTTTCCCTGCGGGGGGCCCCCAAGGGGGCCCCCAAGGGGGCCCCCAAGGGGGCCCTGACGGCCCCCAAAAGGGGCCCCTCAGGGCCCCCAGTACCCTCCTAGGGCTCGACGCAGGGGCCCTTTATAGGCCCCTCGGAGTTTCCCATAGAAGCATGCTAGGGGCACCTGGGGGCCCCGGGGGGACTCCGGGGGCCCCTGGGGGACTCTGGGAACCCCTGGGGGGCCCCTAGGGGCCCCCCAGGCCCCAGACTGCGGGGGCCCCGCCACCCAACCAGCAGTTATCCTGGGGGCAGCAAAATCTGTCTCTTAATTGATTAAAAGACACAAACCATCGGCGGCAACGCCGCATAGCAGCCCTGGGCTGCATGCATGCAAAAAAGCCCCAAAATGGGGTACGCAGCAACTGCGGCTTGCCCGCGTGGGCCCCTGGGGGCCCCCACACTCAAGGGCCCCCCTTCCACAGGGGGGCCCCCCGGGAGCGGCGGGGGCCCCCCACCCTTTAGGGGGCCCCCACAGCTTACGGGTCCCCCATCGCTGCGGGTACCCCCAGGCGCTGTGACGGGGGCCCCCCAAAGAAGGCCTGGGAGAACTCCGGGGGCTCTTCAAGGGGCCCCACAGGAGGCCCCCAAGGGGCCCTTAAGGGGCCCCCCAGGGGCCCCCTTGGTTAAGAGCAACAGCTAGTTGAAGGGTACAGAGGGCAAGTCGAGGCCCCTCAGGGGGCCCCCAGCGAGGGCCCCTCGCAGCGCCGCCTGCGGGACACAGCAGCAAATGGAAAAGCCCAAAAGCATTTGCAAGTTTCGAAAGAAGCAAATAAACAAATAGACAAAAAAACCTTTTAAGCTCAAACATACCCAAGAAAAGGGGGCCCCGGGGGGCCCCTCAGGGCCCTGGGGGCCCTGGGGGCCCCCCCCCGGGGCACCGAAGCGGTGCTGCAGCAGCAGCAGCAACGAAGGAGGTGCTGCTGCTGCCAGCTGCTGCTGCACAGGGACAGATAAGAAGCAGAAGCAGCGCAGCAAAGGAGCGAAGAGCGGCAGCCGCGAGCGGAGAGCAGCATGCGCCTTGAGTTCCAGCTGCTGCAGCAGCAGCCCTGCGTCTGCTGCTGCAGCAGCCGCAGCTCCTGCTGCTGCTGCTGCTGTCGATGCTGCCGATGCTGCAGCAGGGCTTCTGCCCTGGTCCTGCGCGCGGGGCCGCTGCAGCGGCTGCTGCTGCAGCTGCTGCTGCAGCTGCTGCTGCAGCAGCTGCTGCTGCTGCGCTATCCATAAATTCAAGTGCACAGAGGGAGTCCCTGCAGGGACTCTTGCTGCTGTGGGGCCCAATCCGCACTCTGAGGGCAAAGATGTCTCTAGCCAGCCCTGAATAGAAGCAGCAGCAGCAGCAGCAGCAGCAGCAGCGAAAGTGACAGCAGGACGTGAGCAACAATACGAAACGTCACTGCAGCAGCAGCAGCAGCAGCAGCAGCAAAGGCAGTAGAAGCTGAAGAAGTGGACGAACAGCGGCTGAGAGACGAGAAGACACAAGACGAAAGAAGACACAGTGCTGGAGAGACAGCAACAAAGCAGCAGCAGGAAATAAAGAGAGACAGCAGCAAAGCAGCAGCAGGAAATAAAGAGAGACAGCAGCAAAGCAGCAGCAGGAAATAAAGAAGCAAACCTGCAGCTCCAGCAGCAAATCTGAGGAGGCGCTATCAACCAGCCGGAATGATAGAATGCCCCCCTCAGCAGTCCACGCAGCCTGCAGCAGCAGCAGCAGCAGCAGCAGCAGCAGCCCGCGCCCTACACGTTTACCAGTTGCAGCAGCAAAAGCAGCTACAGCAGCGGCAGCAGCAGCGGCAGCGGCGGCAACAGCAGCAGCAGCAGCAGCAGCAGCAGCAGCTCGAGCAGCTAACGCATGCAACGTCTCCGAGCTCGGTCTGCGTTTGCTTAAAGGCCACAATTGGGGAGTCAGCTTCCATGGACTCCGAGTCGCAGCGCAGCACCTGCAGCAAGCAGCAACAGAAAAGGCAGACTTCGTTGCAGCAGCAGCAGCAGCAGCAGCAGCGGCAGCAACGGCAGTATGAGCAGCAGCAGCCCCTGAAGCATCGGTGGCCTCAACAGGCCCACAAGCTATAGCCGCAGATAAGCCCAGCAGAAGCAGCAGCCGGAACAGCTGCAGCAGTGCAGGAGCCGCAGCAGCAGCAGCAGCAGCAGCAGCAGCAGCAGCAGCAGCAGCAGCAAACCTGAAGCTGCTGGAGCATGGGCGGCGAGGCTTCCTTGGAGTCATTAATGGAGAAGAGGCGAAAGTTGCCCCAGGGGTCAGCAGCAACAACGCCTGAGGCCCCAAAGCCCCAAAGCCCCCAAATAAGAACGCATGCATGCATGCACGGACTCAAAGCCCCAAACAAACGCATGCATGCATGCATGTATGCATGCGCGGCTGACAAGAGCCGGCCCACGTGAAGCAGCAGAAGGTTGCAGTCTTAACTGATAGAGGGACAAGAAGTAATTAAAAAAAAACTAAAGAATGATTTAGTCATCAAAGTGCCATTAACTAGCCAAGTCAACAGACAAATAGATGATAACAGCAGAAAACCTGTGCGCCTTGGGCAGCGCAGCAGCAGCAATTGCAGCAGCAGCAGCAGCAGCAGCAGCAGCAAAAGCCCCACAGATTCTGTCTTCTAGGGAGACCGCGTCGCATGCAGTCACTGACAGCAGCCAGTGAGCCACACAGCGGCTGACAAGCTCCAGACGCCTCGAGTCCGAAGCGGAGTCGAAGCGCCAGCTGCAGCAGCAGCAGCAGCAGCAGCAGATGCAGGTGCAGCAACAGCAGCGGACGTAGAAGCAGCAAGAGGCGCAGCAGCAACAGCAACACCAGGCGCACACGCAGCAACAGACGCAGCAGCAATAGCAGCAACACGAACTGCAGTGGCACAGACGACAGCAATAGCAGGTGCAACAGCAGAAGTAATAGCAGCAGCAGCAGCAACAGCTGCAGCAGAAACAGATGCAGCAGCAGCACCAACAGCAACTGTAGCAGCACCAACAGCAACCGCAGCGGCACCAAGAGCAGCAGCAGCACCCAGACCAGCAGTAGCACCCAGACCAGCAGCAGCAGCAGCAGCAGCAACGGCAGCAGCAGCAGCAGCAGCGGCAGCAGCAGCAGCAGCTAACGCTAGCAACGAAACTCCTTTGAAGAGGTCTCCTGCAACAAGAAAATTTTTCAAAGAGGAAACAGCCGAAAGGGAAACGCCGACATCTGCAAAGGCCCCGCGGGCCAAAAGGTCTCCGTCCATTTCCTGCAGCAGCAGCAGCAGCAGCAGCAGCAGCAGCAACAGCAGCAGCAGCAGCTAACGCGACAAAGCCGCAGAAATGATGCCAGAGAGCAGAAGATGAAGCGGCAAACGAAGCAAAGCAAAAGCACGAAGATGACACGAACACAGAAAAGAGAAAGAGATAAAACAAAGACAAAAAGAAAAAAAGAAAAAGATCAGAAAAACCCTAAAGCTGAAACCCTAAACCCTAACCACTTAATGCCAAACCCTGGACCCCTCCCCGCCGCCAGAGGGCAACCCTAGGCGAAAACCCGAAACCCTAAACCCTAATCGTCAAATCCTAAACCCTAGTCGCTCAGTCCAAAACCTTGACAGCCAAACCCTAAACCACAATAAACCTAAACCCTAGTCACCAAACCCCAAATCCTGGTCGACAAGCACTAAACCCTGATCGCCAATTCCCAAACCCTAAACCCTGATCGCCAAACCCTAAACCCTATTCGCCAAACCCCAAACCCTATTTTCCAAAACCTAAACCATAGTGGTTAGACCGTAAACCTTAGGTCCAAACTTAAGACCCTACACAAACCCCCAAACCCTAGTGGCTAAACCGTAAACCCTGATCACCAAACCCTAAATCCTAGTCCCAAACCCTAAACCCTAATATCAAATTTTAAACCCTAGTTCCAAACCCTAAACCCTAAACCCTACATGGATGAAGAGGCGGCGGCCGACGGAGTGCAGCAAATAGTGTCTTTCTGCTGAAGAAGGGGCAAAAGAGCCGAGGCAGCAAACAGGACCTTCGAAAACAAAACTAGAAAAAAGACCCAAACCCTCCTCCTGAACAGCAGCAGCAGCAGCAGCAGCAGCAGCAGCAGCAGCAAAACAACAAGCGGAGGCAATGAAAAAATGAAAAGCAGATTAAAGGAGACACAAGAAATCACGACAAAGATCAAAGGAGCCCAAAAAGATAAAAGGAGACAAAAAAAAGAATACAAGAGACAGAAAGAGATGAAGAGAGAGGCAAAAGAAGACAAAAGGAAAGGAAAAGAGAAAATAAAAGAAGAAAAAAGAGACAAAGAGAGGGACAAGAGGAGAAAAAAGGGAGATAAAATAAAGACAGAGTTGCTGCTAAGTTTTAGATAAAATAAAGACAGAGTTGCTGCTAAGTTTTCTGGGGTGCAGGCTCTCACCTCTTGCCGATGGTTTCCCGCTGCTGCTGCTGCTGCTGCTGCTGCTGCGTGCCCGTAGGGCAGCAGCGGGGGCAGCCGCAGCAGCAGCAAACGACCCCCAGAAGCAACTCCTTCCCCCAGCGGCTGCGCCACTCCCACGGCCAAAAACTCCACGCCGTCCAGCAGCACAAACTGCAGCGAAGTCACCTCCTCGCAGGGGCCCAACAAGAACGAACTGCAGCAGCACAGCAGCAGCAGCAGCAGCAGCACAGCAGCAGCAGCAGCGCAGCAGCAGCAGCAGCGCAGCAGCAGCAGCAGCACAGCAGCAGCAGCAGCACAGCAGCAGCAGCAGCACAGCAGCAGCAGCGACAAGGGAGGTGAGGCTTAAAGCACAGAAGCTCACAGGGCCCGCAGCCAATGCAGCAAATGGGAGCTGCAGCAGCGCAGCTGCAGCAAACGAACTGGCAGCAGAAGAGCAGCAGCAGCAGCGACGGCGCGAAGGAGACAAACAAAAGCCGACGCAGCAGCAAATGCAGGCGACCCAGCAGCAGAAGCACCACCACCACCACCACCACCACCCCCAAAAGCAGCAGCAGCAGCGGCAGCAGCAGCAGCAGCAGCAGCAGCAGCAGCAGCGCGGCTCACCCCAGGGGCGCCTGCAGGTTGTCCTGGTGCAGCAGCAGCAGCTCGAACTGCTTGCCTTCTTCTCCCTCCACCTCCACGCGGCCATCAACGCATGCAGCTAAATAAGGGTTTGGGTGGACGCGGCCATCAGGGGGCCCCCCGGCCGCGGGCAGGGGGCCCCCCCCCTGGGGGCCCCCCCATCCCTCGTCGTGCTGCAGCTCGCCGCCTCCTGCTGCAGCGGCCGCTCCTGCTGCTGCTGCTGCTGCTGCTGCTTCCCCAGAACGGCCCAGCAGCGCCAAGTGCGCCCGCTGCAAGGCATTCCGAGTTTCAAGGACAGCTTTGATTTGTTCTGTCTCTTCTGTGGGGTGGTGTAGAGACACCGCGACGAGGCGCCCCACAGGCGCGCCTGCTGCTGCTGCTGCTGCTGCGGCGGCCCCCCCTGACGCTGCTGCTGCTGCTGCTGCGTCTCTCCTGTACTGCAGCGGCAGCACGTAGTCAGAGCCCGAAGACACAGCCACATGGGTCACAGAGGCCCCCAGCAAGAAAGAGGAAGAGGGCAGGGGCCCATCGAGCCTGAAGGGCCCCAGGGTACTGGGGGCCTCCTCAGCTGCTGCTGCTGCTGCTGCTGCTGTGGCTGCTGCTGCTGGCTCCGGGGAGCAGCGAAACTTGTCAAAAGGAGCAGCAATGTCCGACAGACACAAAGTGGGGCCCCCCTTATGCAGCATTGCGAAAGACCCTGGGGGGCCCCCCGCCCAGGTGAAGCTGGCGGCGCTGAGGGTGTCTCTGCGCTCGTTGGGGTGTACGTACAGCTGGTTGCGGCTGCTGCAGAGCCACAGCACCGGCAGCTGCTGCAGCTGCTGCAGCAGCTGCTGCTGCTGCTGCTCCTGCTGGCCCGACAGCGGCAATGGCGGCACTACCAGGCTCACCCCGCCACCCCACTGCTGCACTTGCTGCGGGGCTGTGGCGTAGCCCGAGGAAACAGCAAACTGCACGGAGGGTTCAGCAGCAGCTGCTGTTGCGGCTGCTGCTGCTTTTGCTGCTGCTGCTGCTGCTGGGAGCTTTTGCAGAGAAGGGATGCACTCAGTGCAGCTGTGCAGCTGCAGCCGGAAGGCTGTTGGAAAGGAGGCACTGCTGAGTAGCTGCAGCGACTCTCCAGCAGCAGCGGCAGCTGCTGCTGCCGCGTCAGCAGCATCTGCTGCAGCCGCGTCAGCAGCACCTGCTGCAGCAACGGCTGCAGCAGCAACTGCAGCAGAGGCAGCAGCAAACCCGCGGTAGATGAGTGGAGGCCGCCCCGTCAGGAACACCACTAGTGTGGGGCCCTCGTCACTTCTAGGGTCTAGCAGCAGCAGCTCGGCGCTCAAGACCTCTTCCTGTAGCTCCCCAGCAGCAGCACCTGCTGCTGCAGCTCCTTCTGCTGCCTCACGGTCTGCTGCTGACGCAGCAGCATCAGCAGCAGCAGAAATGCTGCCCTCTTCTGGCCGAGTCAGAGGCAACGGGTCCGCAGCTATGCAGGTCACGGAGCGCCTGGCGTCCAAACTGCCCTCCTCAGCAAGTGTTGCTGCTGCTGCTGCTGCTGCTGCCCCAGCAGCAGCAGCAGCTGCTGCTGCTGCTGCTTGCTCTTGTGGAGGTCCCTCTGCTGTCTCTCCATGAGCTCCAGGCGACTGTAAGATGTCCTCGCGCAGCTGAGCATCTGTGCTCTTGCTGCTGCTGCTGCTGGTGCTTTCTGGAGCTCCGCCTAGTGCTGCTGCCTCTTGCTGCTGCACTGAGTGTTGCTGCAGCAGCAACTGCTGCAGCTGCAGCTGCGCACAGGACCCGCAGTTGCGCAGCAGCGGCGAGACGAGGCGGAGGTCGACTGAGCTGAAGAGACACTGCATGCGGTGTACAGACACCACGTGCAGTGTCTGGGCCTTCTCGGGTCCCTCAAGTGTCACGAGGCAGCACAAGACCTCTGCTGCTGCTGCTGCTGCTGCAGCAGGAGAGAGGGGAGTGCTTCTAGGGTGTAGGTACAGCTGCGCACTTTTCACCTGCCCGCGCATGCAGCACGGCATTGCCTCAGGAGGCACTTCCTGAAGCAGCAGCTGCTGTTGCTGCTGCAGCAGTTGCGGGTCCCCCTCGCCAAGAGCCTCACTGCCTGCTGCTGCTGCTGCTGCTGCTGCTGCTGCTGCTGCTGCTGCAAGGTCAATGTGCCACAAGCGCAGGCGGAAGTCGTCGAGGACGGCGCAGACCCAGTCGCCTGCCGCGCTGCCTCTGACTGCAGCAGCAACTCCGCCACCAGCTGCTGCTGCTGCCCAGCCTGTGTCAAGAAAGGGAGACATGCTTCCTGCTTCTGCTGCTGCTGCTGCTGCTGCTGCTGCGTGGGGCAGCTGAGGTGAGGTCCCCTCAATGCCCCCTTCTGCATCCACCTCCATGGACGCATACAAGTCTCTCTCTGCCTCCACTGAGACCAGCGCATCTCCTGCTGCTGCTGGGCTGCTGCTGCTGCTGCTGCTGCTGCTGCTGTGCTGCTGTTGGCGTTCTTGCTGGATCTCTTCTTCTTGCAGGTGACGCGCCTCCTCTTCATGCTGTTGCTGCGCCTCGTCCTGTTGCATTTCTAGCTGGCTCTCATCGTGCAGCTGCCGCTGCTGCTGCTGCTGCGAAGCCTGCTGCTGCTGCAGTCGATGCTGCTGCTGCTGCTGCTGAGGCGGCTCCGTCATGTCGACTGGGAGGCACAAAGCGGCTGCCCCCAAGGGCCCCGTTACCCGCAGCTCTTCTGCTGTCAGCTGCAGCAGCACGAGGCCCCCCAGCAGCGAAGCAGCAAACAGCGTGGGGCCATCTAGAGAAAAGGCAGCACCTGGGGTGTCTTTTTTGCTGCTCTCTGCTGCTGCTGCTGCTGCTGCAGTGATGTCGACGAGTTTCCCCCCACGGACGGACAGCAAACGGGTTTCTCCTAGTCCCATGCGCGGGTCGCTACTCACCAGCAGCAACTGCTGCTGCTGCTTCTGCTGCTTCTGCTGCTGCTGCTGCTGCTGCTGCTGCAGGGCCCACACAATTCTGGGCTGCCCTTCTAGGTTGGTGGCAGCAGCAAGACTGCGGCAGGGCACAGCTCGCTGGAGGGCCGTCAAGGCGCCGTGGGGCCAAAGCCCTCCAGCAGTAAGAAAGCGGCTGCTTCCTGATGTGCTGCAGAAGGCCTCTAGGTCTTGCTGCTGCTGCTGCAGCAGCAGCTGCTGCTGATGCTGCTGCTGAGGGTGGCCCGCAGAAATCGTCGCAGAAGACTCCAGGGGAGGCAGCGGCAGGTAAGTCACGCAGCGAGCTGCAGCAAAGCCTTGGGGCCTCAGCCAGTCAGAAACTGTCAGACGAAAAGAAGGCAGCAGCAGGGGCCCCCCGGGGGCCCCCACGAGGCCCAGGTTGTCGCCCACAGGGTACTCTGCGTCGAGGTCAGTGCTGCTGCAGCTGGTGCTGTTGCTGCAGCTGAAGGCGCTGCTGCTGCTGTTCAGGGCAGCGGCAGCAGCAGCAATCGACTGCGGGATGCCCTGCGGCGCGGACTCTGCTGCTGCTTTCGCTGCTTCCTCCGCCCCTGCAGCAGCAGCAGCAGGCGGCGCCGATGCTGCTGCCGCTGCTGCTGCTGCAGTGGCCTGCTGCCGCAGCCACTGCAGGTAACCCAGCGGCGAAGACTCTGGCAGGGGCCCCTCGTCTTCTTGCTGCAGCTCCCCATACCTCAAGATGGGGGCCCTTTGGTAAGCAAGGTCAACTGAACCATCAGGGAAGATCTCAATGAGTTGTTTGCCGTCAGTGGTGAAGAGCTCCTGCTGCTGCCGCTGCTGCTGCTGCTGCTGCTGCTGCTCGCCTCCGGGGCCCTGCTGCAGCTCCGGCACCCTGCTGCAGCAAACTTCCAGCGACGAGACCCCCCTTGCTGTTCCCGGATCAGCAAAAAGACTTGACCCGCAGCCCTGAAGGTCCCGGGAGGCCCCCGGGGGGGCCCCCCAGGGCCTCCTGGGGGGCCCCACCAGCTGCGGCTCTGCTGCAGCCACGCACACTCCTGTACCCTCCCGGGCCCTGCCACCGAAGGCCACCAAGTACCGCCTGCTGCTGCTGCTGCTGCTGAAGCCTGAGCTCTCTGCTTCCTTTTCCGCGGCCTGCAGCAGCAAACAAGCACGAAGCAACGCGGCGCTGCTGCTGCTGCTGCAGCAAGCAGCCACGGCTCTCGCTGCTGCTGCAACGCAGCAGCAGCAGCAGCAGCAGCAGCAGGATTCAAGGGACCAGCCCACCTGAGTCTCTGCTGCTGGCGAAGGCCACACAGCAACCGAGTCCGACCGCGGCAGCAGCAGCTGCCCCGGCAGCTCGCATGCGGGGGCCCCCTGCAGCTCGAGGGGGGGGCCCCCCTTGGGGGCACAGACCTCAAGTGCAGTCCAAATAATGTCAGAGACCCCAAGGCCAGCAGCAACGACCTGCAGGGAGACACACGCCTTTTGCTGCTTTCCTGTCTCCTCAGCAGCAGCTCCCCGTGCAGCCAGCCGCACCTGGCTCCTGCACCTGCTGCTGCTGCTGCTGCTGCTGCTGCTGCTGCTGCTGCAGGTGCAGCTGCCGCTGGCGCTGCTGCTTGCCTAGTGGCGCCAGCGAGTTCCTAGGGAAGCAGACCAAGTGAGCCACTGTTAAATGCTCAAACTAGCAGCAGCAGCAGCAGCAACAACAGCAGCAGCAGCAGCAGCAGCAGCGGGGCTCACTAGGTGGGCCAGCGCGGGCCTGTTGTCCGCCGACAGCAGCAACAGACATTTGCTGCTGATGAAAGCAGCAGCACCTTCCTCGAGGCGGAGTCGGAGACGGCTCTGGTCGAACACAGCAGCAGGAAGCTGCTGCAGGTCCTTGCGGACGAGGCCCGCGGGGTGCAGCACGTGGGTGATGCCTGCGACCCTGCTGCTGCTGCTGCTGCTGCTGCTGCTGCTGCTGCTCTGCTGCTCCTCCAGCAGCCGCTGGCTCCCCCCGCCACAACGCCCCCCCCCAAACGAAAAAAAGGAGACAGTGTCAGGAGACAGACACAAGACCCCGTGGGGCACAGCGGGGACCCGCAGCAGGTTGAAAGTGTCCACCAGCAAATGCGGAATCTGCGCAGCAGCAGCAGCAGCAGCAGCAGCAGCAGCAGCAGCAGCGACGCATGCGCAGTTGACCATCGCGTGCAGCAGCAGGAGCTGCTGCGGGTCCCTGCCCGCGTGAGCGTGCGCCGTCCCCAAACCCTAAACCCTAAACCCTAAACCCTAAACCCTCGCGGGCGGGGGCCCACCTTCGCGACGATTTGTATGTCGCGCTCCTCCGGGTGTACAGACACCAGCAGCGCCGATACTTCCCCAGCTCCTGCAGACCCCACAAATGGAATTAAACCAATTTCTCGAGGCCCTTGAGAGACAAGAAGAGCAGCAGCAGGCAGCAGCAGCGAAGAAACTGGCGCCATGTCGTGCAGCAGGTAGGGGAGGCCTGCTGCTCCTGCTGCAGTGGCTGCTGCTGCTGCTGCTGCTGCCGCCGCCGTCGAGTCCCCCGGGCCAAAAGAGGCCCCTGGAGCAGCAGCAGCAGCAGCCACTGCTGCTGCTGTCTTCTCAGGAAGAGGCAAATCGTCTACAAGAGATAAAAAGAAACATGAAGACACAGCGAGGCCCCCCCCCAGCAGGCTGTGGGAGCCCCACAGTGCAGAGGGGCCCCCCCCAGGACCCTCTTCTGGGGGCCCCGGGGGCCCCCCGCCCTCGCCCAGGCTTTGCAGCTCCTCTGCTGCCTGCTGCTGCTGCTGCTGCTGCTGCTGCTGACGCTGCACTGCAGCAGCAAAAAACGCAACTGGGGGCACGCTGCTCAGCGCGCCAGCCCCAGCAGCTCCTAAGGGGCCCGTGTCCTGCCCCGGGGGGCCCCCTGCAGGGCCCCCCGGGGGGCCCCCTGGGGGGCCCCCCGAGGGGCCCCAGGGGCCCTCTGGGCTCCACGGAGTACCCTGCTGTGCCTTGTTGAGCCCTCCACCTGCTGCTGCTGCTGCTGCTGCTGTTGCTGCAGCAAACGCAGCCTGCAAGGGGGTGGTCGCCGCGGGAGACAGCAGCAAGTTAGCGGGGGCCCCATGATGGGCTGCAGAGGGAGACATGTGGGCCCCAGCAGCAGCACTGTCCCCCTGCGCTGCAGCAGCAGCAGCAGCAGCAGCTGCTGCTGCTGCTGCTGCAGGCGCCGGCGCCGCCTGGGGCCCCTCTGCGTTGACAACAATATGAAGACAAACAACATGCAGCAAGTCAACGCTCATCATCGCAAGGAACCCCTTGGAAGGGGGCCCCTCATGGGGGCCCCCCAGGGGCCCCCCCAGGGGCCCCCCGAAGTGCCCCCCAAGGGGCCCCCGTAGGGGCCCCCCCAGGGGCCCCCCTACGGAAGAGCCCCTGGGGGCCCCCAGGGGGGCCCCCAGGCCGTACGGCTGCAGGTCAATGACGAGGGCCCTGCAGAAGGCGCGCAGCACCGAAACAGGGTACTGACCCGCGGGTACTGTGAGGGCCCCCTCGGGGCCCCAGGCGCCCCCCTTCATGGCGGAGAGGGGCCCCTCATCCACCAACTTGAGGTGGGGGGGGCCCCCAAGAAAGGCATTTACTGCAGAGGCCTTGGGCCCCAAATCTGCAAAGCTGTGCATGCTCACAGTGCGCAGGGCCCCCACAGCTTCCTCGTAGACCAGCACCACAGCGCGGTACCCGCTCAGCAGCAGCAGCAGCAGGTCAGGGGCCCCCCGCTGCGCCGCGCCCCCGGGGGCCCCGGGGGCCCCGGGGGCCCCGGGGGCCCCGGGGGCCCCGGGGGCCCCGGGGGCCCCCCTCGCCCCGGGAGACCCGGGGGGCCCCTGGG